TAAAAGAAATTTTTACTTTTTTCATTAAAAAATAAACATTTTGTTGCTTTAAAGTGAACATTTTGTTGCTAAAAAGTGAAAATTTCACGCCAAATACTTTCCCTTTTCGTTTTCGATTTATAATTGAAGCAGAAAAGCGCGTAATTACCATAAAAACAGTAATTGGTCACGAAATTATAAAATTTTTCGGCTTATTTTTTCAAGTTTTCGTATTTTAAAGCTGAACTTTAATTAAGCTTAAAGCAAATAAATGAAAAATGCTAAAAATGCATTTGCAAAATATTAATTAAGCATTTAGATCATGAAAATTAGTAAGTAGATGGCGAGATAGGTAGATTGATTGATCAAGTGATTGATCAATAGATAGATACACTCATAGATACATAAATATATAGATAGATAGACTGATTAAAGTAAGAAATTGAATCACAAATAATGTTTGATTATTTATTTTCGCTATTTGCTGTGCTTTATATTCAGCTGTTTTTTTGTTTTTTTCATCTAAAATTTTAAAATAATAGCAATGAATAACTAACAGATAATTTATTTTAAAAACTTTGAAAATTTTTTAAGTTTTTAGTGTATTAATTAAATAAAAAATCAACGAATTCTACATCAAAATATTGCAAAAAGTGAATTTTTGTTTAACCTTTTTTCAGTCACAAATTCAATAAAGCAATGGATAAAAGTGAAAGTTAATTTGTGATAATCTAATTACAGTTCATTTGTGCTATTTCTGAACTGTTCCAGTTCAGAAATAGCACAATTGTTTTCTGAATTGAGATTGAAATTTTAATTTAGAAATGAGTGCAAAGAATAGCTTTAATCTCTGAATAATTCTCCATTTCAGTCTTCATTCTTAAGGCTTATATTTTATTTCAAGAATTAGCAAATTGTTATTACTAGAATTCAGTATGATTATGATTCTTTCCAATATCAACAGATTGATTGCATAAATACTTGAATTAAATTTCTTATAATTGAAAATCTTTCTACTTAAAATAATTAAAATGGTAGCTCTGGAAATTATGATTTTTTTTAAAAAGTGTTTCGAATAATGTAATACTCTTTGTTAATACAAGCTCGTATAATATCACTTTATTTACCGCAACGCAATTTTTTAATAAATTTTATCAACTACAAACGTATGTGAATGGTACATTATAACTTTAGAAATAAAAAAAGAGCAATTTACGTGCATTTCTTTTAGTGTTCAAATTTTATGAATGGCTGACTAATAAAATTTACTAATATCAATCTTTTACTGAAAATTTTAAATATATTTAAAATTCATAAAATACTATTGAAAATCAATAACTTTTTTGTAATCCCA